GGGGTGCTCTAGTTAAATAAATTTTCGGGCTACCAAAATCTGAAGAGTACCTGCCAGGGATTTTGAAATTTTGCGAGCCCTGTAGGAGATAGTGGACCTGTTTTGGATGGGGCATTTAAAAGCATAAAATGTGAATTTTATGGGTAATGGATATTTTCCCCCTGTCTGCTGCCTTTCACAGTTTAGGGTAGCCACTAGTGAAGGGCTTGTAATGCCATCAGGCAGTCAGTGAACAGTCAGTGCCATAGTATTTGAGCTTTTCAGAAAGCCAACTTGTGAGTGGTTAGCTTGCAGTTGTCTTTGTAGATAAAATTGGTATTGGAGAAAGTATTTTAACTGAAAAAAAATACACATCACCATTAAGAAAAGAAATTAAAAGTTAATGAAGTGGCTGCCCTTTGATTCCAGTTTTTGCCTATGGTTACTGGACCGCTTGTGCTCCACAGCTTCCTTCAGAAAAGTCACTGTTACTAAAACTAGTCTCAAAAGTGCTGACATCACTGTCTAAATTTAGCCCATTGGCCAGCTCATGAAATATTCACCATCATCTGAAGAGGTGAAAGTCTCATTTACATAATGAAGCACAGGAAGAGAAAAGAAGAGGCTGTGTTTCGGGAGACTGAGTGAAAGTGCTCAGTCCTCCATTTTGGCATTTCCTGCTGTGTCATTTGAGACTTTTTCCATCCTTAGTGGTGAGTGTCCATGACAACCAGGGCGCTGTGTTTTTGTAACTTCCCGGCCCTATAAATTTGATTTAAACAATAGGTCTACATAATATTCACATGTGCTGTTCATAGGGGACATATTGTATTAGCCCTACAGTTACAGCATGAAATGCTATTTAAACCTATTTCTAATAATATTTTACATTTACCTATTTTATCTCACAATTCTGACTTTTTCTCGCAAATACAAGTTTACTGTGTATCTCCTAGTTCAGACTTTATAACTCGATTTAACTCAACAATAGTTAGTATCAATTCTGAGGGGAAAAAAGCCAGTAGTCAGGGATAGGAACTATTAGGAATGGGGGATAGGAATGATTCTGAACCGAGGGGAAAAGAGAGAATGACAAGTTGTTTTCAGAGTTGTGAGATATAATCTTGGAGAAATGTGAGAATAAAGTCAGAATTTTGAAATATAAACTCAAATGTACCTTTTTTATTCTTTAATTCCATGGCTTCCATAGACTGCTACTTGAAAACTGTCACTTTCTGCCACCAGTCACTTTTCCGCCCATAAAAAAAAACCATCACTGTTTCATAGGGGTGGACGATATGGCAAAAATATCATATCACGATTTTTTTTTTTTTTTTTTAATATATCGATTCTCGATTATTTGTCATATTCGTTTTTCTATTTTGCAAGTTGTTTAAGCATTACAGCCAAACTAATTTCCCTATTATAAAGACAAGGTAACAAAATATAAAAAAGAATGGTGGATATTTAGGCCAAAGTGGGTGAAGATAAAAATCTTTGACATTATTTTATCTTTGTTATTAAAAAATGAGAACAAAGATACACATTACAAATACACATAATATATAATATATGTGTATTTAGCAGTAGCATTCAAGAAATTGAATGAACCAATATAAAAATAAAACACTATATATATTGATTCCTATTAAAGCAACTGTATTAAAGTTTTTCAGTCAAGAGTAGTGAGTGATTTTTTTTCTCTGTGTTTTGGTTTTTATTAACATTTAAAGGAATAATTTGCCCAAAAATAAAAAGTGTTTTATTAGTATACCATCATTTACTCACTCAAAAGTTGTTTTAAACCTGAATGATTTTCTTTCTTCTGCTGAAATTAATGCTATTTTGAAGAAAGTGGAAAACCAAACAGTTGCTGGTCCACAGCAACTTCCATAGTATTTTTTTTTCCTACTATCAAATTCAGTGTGGACCAGCAACTGTTTGGTTACCCACATTCATCAACAGGGCTTGACATTAAGCATTCTCATGTGGTTGTCCTTTGGACAAATAAATTTGTCATTTACTTGTCCGAGTATAAAAGTTACTTGCCCGGAGAGAAAAAAATACATTTAAATTGAGTTATAATTATTTATTGTAGCTATACAAAACATAGTATAGTGTTTATAGAGTATATGTAGTAGATTTTGTGAGCATGTCACATTTAGTTTATTTAGTTAGATTTTTCTTTTTAAATAAAATAAACAAAATAATAAAGTGAAATCAGTATCAACAAAATTAATCTGCAATGTAGAGGAAGCACAGAAGCTGCATCTGAAGTGGAATAGATATATTTACCCACTGTTTAATGCAGCTCTGAGGGACATGGAATGCTTTAAGCTGCAGTTACAAATGAATAAATGTTTTGATACATAAAATGTTGAATACTGATATTTGAAATTATTTAAAAATAAATAAAATACTTTAAATGTGAAATTAAAACCACCAGTAGGTGGCATCAAGTCACTGTTAATAAGCGAGTCATTGCGATTGAACCGAATCATTTAAACTGTTGATTCATTCTGAAACAAAACTCCGTCATGTTGCTCAGAGATACAAAACATTGCTGTAGCTGTGTTTGGAATTATTTTTTGTTTGCGAAATGGAACAAAAACAGGCAATATAGTGTCTAAAACGTAAGTCTCTTAATATTAACTTCTTGTTTATTGAACTGTTGTATAAAATCACATTTGTAATCATGCTGATTTTTGGAGCAAAAAAACTGCGCTTGATCTACGTGTGATATTGTTTAACTATATGAAATTATATAAATATATAAATTTTCTGCCCCCATATCTTGAATTTCCTGATCATTCTTCATGCATTTTAATACTGAATCATGCAGTGAAAGAACGCACAAGTGCAGTAGTCTAACCTACTAGACTTCTTTACGTAGGCCTAATGTATGCGTGCACTCTGTAGGTGCGTTGTTTGATTTTTGCAATATACTCGATAATGTCAAATCGCACATCGTTAAAACAACAATTACTATATTATCGCAAACGATATATATCACACACCCCTATCACAAAGGCTATATCACAAATAAAGGCAGTTATTATTGTTTTTGGTATTGACATTTTCAAGTTACTTGTCCGATTGGGCAAGAAAATTTCTCTTTCACTTGCCAAAACATTCACTTGTCCCGGACAAGCGTTAATGTCGAGCCCTGATCAAAATATCTTCTTTTGTGTTCAGCACAAGAATGAAATTAATACAGGTTTGGGACAACATGTGAGTAAATAATGACAGAAATTACATTTTAGGGTGAACTATCCCTTTAATGACAGTTGGCAGCATGTTTAGTACTGTCCCTTTAAGACCTGCACGCATCTAATATACACCGGTACGTATCCGTTTTTCTCTCAAATGTTTACTTTCATTTTAGACGTAACCAACTGAGTCTATATGTAAACCTTGTGTGTTTTGACAGTATTAGCGCAAAAGATAACTTGGTTCAGTGATCAGGTGCTGTTTAACAGGGTTTTTTTAGCGCGCGCGCTTCGGGTGTACATGCTCAGAAAAAGCGCATGTCAGAACAGCACGTGAATGAAACGTTTAACCAGTAAGGCTTTAAAGCACATGCAAATAATGTACTTTTGTGATTGCGAATAAGTGCAGTGTCCTGTAACTCTACCACTGAGTTAACACTGATGTGAATGTATGTGGCGTTGTACAGTATATTGATACGGCGGCACCAGAACTGCAACTGATAGAATGTGCGCTGTAGCCCGATACTACGATATTTCTTCAAAAGCAGATCGTGGAGACATTTTTATCGTCCATGATCAAAAATCGTCATATCACACACCCCTACTGTTCACCGAATTGGTCTGTAGGACATGAGTATTGCATCACCAAAACATCTGTCAAAAGCAAAAGAATAGCCTTGTTCACACTGCAGCTAACATTTGTCACTTCTATTAAATCTCGTTCTGTACACAAGTTATCTAAATGTTGTTACTTCATAACAATAATGTAGCTGATTCATTCCTGCATTTGAATGCCATTGTCACTCACAAAACTTTTCAGCCTTTTCAGTGTCCAAGTCTTGATGTCCCTAACAAAATTTAGATGGATCTGTAATTATGTGACCTGCTGCATATTGACTTCATCTCTATGTCACTGCTAATGTGATAAGAGCGGTCTCCTCATTGATCTTTTACCGTACGTGTATTAAATCTAAATAGATTTAATAATCATTTAATAATCATTTTGGTGATGATTACAAACTGATAATGTTCTCATAGAGGCTGCATGATTCCACATTACTTTATCTAATAAAATCACCTTTTTTTCTTTCAGAAATCGAGCAATAGCAGATTATTTGCGCTCTAATGGCTTTGAAGAAGCATATTCTGTTTTTAAGAAGGAGACAGAGTTGGATATGGTAATAGCATGTTTTTACACTAAGCTTTAAAGTGGAAAAAGATGTATTAGGTCTCATTCTTACTTGTAATTTCTTCAGAATGAAGAGTTGGACAAGAAGTATGCAGGCCTTTTGGAAAAGAAATGGACTTCAGTCATCAGATTACAAAAAAAGGTCAGTAAATCATTTTTTCAGTATATTCTTTTTTTTTTTTTTAAACTGGGCTATATCTCTTAAATAATTGCACAGGTGTCAATTTTTCAATATAAACAATCCCAGTTTTTCCTGTATTTTTGATAGGTAATGGAGTTGGAGTCCAAACTAAATGAAGCTAAGGAAGAGATCACTTTAGGAGGCCCCGTGGGACAGAAACGAGACCCCAAAGAGTGGATCCCACGCCCACCTGAGAAGTATGCCCTCAGCGGCCACAGATGCCCTGTCACACGTGTCATCTTCCACCCTGTGTTCAGCCTCATGGTCTCTGCCTCAGAGGACGCCACTATAAAGGTGTTTTTTGACTATTTTTGTGTCAGATGTTTTGATAGGCTGCACAAGGATGTATGCATATGATATATGGATGGTGTGTTGTGCCATGTTTCAGTTTATAAATCTGCTCTTATCTTTTCTGCTGAGTCACTGAGTACCTCCATGGAGAAATCTGAAGTTGCCCTGGTTTCCCAGGGCAACAGTGCAGTGAGCAGTTCTCTGGACACCAGGCAGTGCAGTTATAAGCATTCTCAGCCTGCATTTCTGTCAGATTTTTCTTTGTGTTTCTTTGTACCTTCCACATGTCAAGACATGGATAGATCCCAAATAAATATCACAGCCAGACTGCTGGAGACACTTTGCATCACACCTTTTTATATAGGTCTTATAGATCTCCCCTATATTCTCTGTTGTCTAACCTTATGCCATTTGCAGTTGAAGCGGTATGCTCTTCTATGCTACGTTTAAAACCTTTGCTACTGCACATTTAACATTCTAGATTGGAGCTTTAGTGTAAAGTAGAGCTTGCAAAAATAAAACAGTACTGGTTATCCAAAAAAGTATTTGATGACTCAGTGTGTTAATATTTGCCTAATGTAAATGATACTGTGCAGCTCTAGCAGTCTTTGGTGTTTTGGGGAAATCCAGCACTGAGTTAACAGTGTGTGAGTGGTGCATTGTCTTGAACGATGCAAAAGCAGTCCTGTTTTTGTTGTGTTTGTCACTTGATGAGTTTGCAAGAATTTTGGCTTAGGTAAATGAAAAATATTTATTTTAAGATGTTCCCAATATGGATCACTCACTAATAATGAGCACTCTAGTGTTTTTTTTTGTTGTTTTTTTTCTTTCTTTTTTTAACATTCTAGATTGGAGCTTTAGTGTAAAGTAGAGCTTGCAAAAATAAAACAGTACTGGTTATCCAAAAAAGTATTTGATGACTCAGTGTGTTAATATTTGCCTAATGTAAATGATACTGTGCAGCTCTAGCAGTCTTTGGTGTTTTGGGGAAATCCAGCACTGAGTTAACAGTGTGTGAGTGGTGCATTGTCTTGAACGATGCAAAAGCAGTCCTGTTTTTGTTGTGTTTGTCACTTGATGAGTTTGCAAGAATTTTGGCTTAGGTAAATGAAAAATATTTATTTTAAGATGTTCCCAATATGGATCACTCACTAATAATGAGCACTCTAGTGTTTTTTTTTGTTGTTTTTTTTCTTTCTTTTTCATAATTCTGTATACACAACCATTCAGAAGTTTGAGATATAATGTTGTGTATATGTTATCAGATCATATCAGTTATTGAACAATTATTATGCTACTATATAGAATATTATTTATTGTATATTTTTATTTGATTGCATATTTATAATGTATAATATGATGATTATTATATTATCATTATGATTATTCTAATTGACTGTGGGTTTTGTCCAGAATTGCATTGGTGTAGTTTGATTCTTAAAAAGGAATTCTGTGTGTTTAGGGGCTTTCGCACCAGAGGAACCTTTTCATAGTTCCTAGAACTATTGGTGGAATTTTCTGCTTTTTGGCGTGTTCGCATTGCAGGAACTAGGAACGGTTTTAGTTCTGGGAACTCCGTTTGGGGGAACTAAATTAGCTCCTACTTCAGAGTAGGTCTAAGACAGATCTATAGGAACTACCAGTGCCGTAAGTGCACGCTGATTGGCCAAACGCATACGAAACACCGGCTACCCGGCATTTTTAAAAAGCCAAGTAAAAATATTTTCTCCATGAACATGGAAAACATCAATAACGGCATTTACCCGTTGTCTGCAGCGTTATGTTCTTTTCTCATCCTCGATGATAACACTGCAAGTTGTCATAGGAGATGTAATCAGATTTTCATGCTCTTTCAATTGTGTAAATTGTGCGTTTACATTCCATTTCATCAGTTATTGACATTTGTAAATGCCGCGAATAAAGACATCACTATTGGCCTCTTCAGAGTTCCTGCTGCCGGTGCAAATGCAACCAGGAAAATGGCCCAAGAAAAATGGTTCTCTAGGAACGACCCTGCTGACTAGTTCCTAGAACTGCACTGTGTGAAAGCACCTATGTTCTGAAAGTACCAGAGCACTCAAGCTATACAAACTGTTTTTGAAAGTGTGCAACATTATTATTATTTTGAATCACTTTGAAACAAGTGTGTAAGTATGTTCCGTTGCATTGTTTTGCAGGTTTGGGACTATGAGGCTGGGGATTTCGAGCGTACCCTGAAAGGTCACACTGACTCAGTGCAGGACATCTCCTTTGATCAGACTGGAAAGCTGCTGGCTTCTTGCTCCGCGGACATGACCATCAAACTCTGGGACTTCCAGAGCTTTGAGTGCATCAGGACCATGCACGGTATATATTTCCTGCATTTGCTACCACATTATTACCATTATTCAAATCTACTGCTGGAAGAACTTCCTTAAATGGCCTTTGACCTACCATGTACTGCAGCCACTTCCAATATAGGTTTAAAGCTTACTGGGATCCTTATTAGTGTGCTGGAGAATCCTCTCTCTGGACGCTGAGACTCAATCAGGACCTGTTGGTCCAGGGGGAGGGGTAAAGATTTGTTAGGGTCAGGATTAACCAGGCTGACAGATTTAATCTCTCTCAAATAACAAAGGTGCCTCTTTTAATCATATTCCTCTACATCGGTCAGTAAATGACCTTAGATACTTAAAATGAAGATTCGGGTTAGTTAAAAAAAATGTTTGACATTGGATGGTTATGCTTCTAATCAAAAGTCCAGTTGCTTGAGTCTTGACTGTAACTAAGCTTTTCCCTGCACCTTTTATCTCATTCATCTTCCTCACATCCTCAGGACATGATCACAATGTGTCATCAGTTGCCGTCATGCCCAACGGTGATCACATAGTGTCTGCTTCCAGGGATAAGACCATGAAAATGTGGGAGGTGGCCACTGGGTGAGTAATACTGAAGTGCATTGTGTGGGTAATTGTGATCTGAATATTGTACACTCAAGGATTTCAGTGAGTCACATGTGTAGCTTTGAATGTCTTGTCGTTTTTGCAATGTTATTGCCTCAAGCCAAGTAATTACATAATGTCTTTTTTTTTTTTTTTGCAAAGCAATACAAAACATTCTAGAAGCATATGCATGTCCATGTATAATGATTCTCTCTGTCTTGCCACAGCTACTGTGTGAAGACGTTCACGGGTCACAGGGAGTGGGTGCGTATGGTCCGGCCCAATCAAGACGGCACACTATTGGCCAGCTGCTCTAATGACCAGACGGTGCGCGTGTGGGTGGTGGCCACCAAGGAGTGCAAGGCGGAGCTGCGGGAGCACGAGCATGTGGTGGAGTGCATTTCCTGGGCCCCTGAGAGCGCACACCCCACCATATCTGAGGCTACAGGTTCTGAGGTACATTGTTGTACATTGGTTGATGTGAGCCTCATTTTCCCTTTTCTGCATCATCGTGATCCACTAGAATGATATATTGTCTTTTGTTAATAATTTATCATGTTTACTCTCTTCTTCCAGAACAAGAAGAGTGGAAAGCCTGGGCCATTCCTGCTATCTGGATCCAGAGACAAGACCATTAAAATGTGGGACATAAGTACTGGCATGTGCCTTATGACACTGGTGAGTTAAGCTATAGTTCAGGCAGCTTCACTGTATTATATCTATAGCTATACTGCCTGTGTTCAGAATAGAAAACGTACTGCTCACTGCATTCTGCTTCTTTTTTTTTTTTAGCTGTTAATGAGTATGCATTACAGAAGCCCATTTCATCCACATAATAGAAATAATAATGAAATCAAACTGAAATAAGATACTAAGTCGTAATTCAGAGATAAAAGGTTGATATTGACATAAGTTGTCAGTAAAAATGTGAAATTGAGATACTAAATTATGAGATTTGTGAAATTTCAAAAAAGACAAAAAGGTCCATTGTAAAAATGTATGAAGCACTGCTCACAAAGAAGTCACTTTCAAACCAAGCAGCTTTCTGCTGGTTAACAGTGACTTGAACCCGTTGCGAAATCTGCATGGGGCATTTGTGTAGAATTCCTGATTATATGGATTCCTTTTGAAATGTGGCTGCACCTGTCATAAATATGAGAAGTTGACAAGTTGCAATTATGAGACACTAAGTCATACCTGGCAAGTTGGAATGTTTTTTCATAATTATGACTTTTTGTTGTAATTGCCTGTTAGTTTCAACTTAACTCATTAACACTTGGTCATAATTTAGATACTTTTTAAAATCTTGTTATAAAATAATTTCAACTTGTCATTAAAGACTTGCCAGAGTATTGCTTTTTTCTTATTTGTGGTGGAAACGGGCTACCATTTATTTATTTAATGGTCAACATTTTGAAAACAATTTTTTTTATCCAATTTTGTTTATATAAAGAGTCAACAACAGTCCAGTTAAATAATGAGTTAAAGAGGGGATGTTTAAAGTAGCAGCTGATTCCCTCTGCTTCATTTCTCATGCTGTTAATGAAAAGTTGCATTGCATTACCCAGTACAATGTGCTCTAATTTATAATGCACATTTTGTGATATGTATTCACGGTATTCCATGCATATAGAAATTGTCTTGGAATGGTTGTATACTATTTTGAACATGGCCACTGTGTATATATCATACTGTATTACTGCTTTTTATTTGATTGATTGGTGAAGTATTAGCAAACCGCTTTTTCAAATACTCACTGAAGTGACTTTTTCCATTTACTAGATCTACTGAATCATATATCAAATTCTGGGCTTTTATCCATCATTTCTCTTTCTTCATTCATCTTTTACTTCTCTCGCCTCTCAGGTCGGTCACGATAACTGGGTGCGTGGACTGCTGTTCCATCCTGGTGGGAGATTTGTAGTGAGCTGTGCTGATGACAAGACCCTGCGTATCTGGGACTATAAGAACAAGCGCTGTATGAAGACCCTGAGTGCCCATGAACACTTTGTTTCCTCTCTGGGTAAGTCAAGCAGATGTCTGCCTGGAAATGGTGAAATTTGGTTTCATTACACCATTAAATAAATGCAATATTCATCCTTTCTTCCTCAGATTTCCACAAGACTTCTCCTTACGTGGTGACAGGAAGTGTAGATCAAACGGTCAAAGTGTGGGAATGTCGCTGATCGCCATAGGATCCTCCCCTTCCGTTCCCCCCCCAACGCCACCACTTTGGCCACTCCCACACCTGCTCTTCAGGATGCACTCATTACTATGGTTACCACCTCATCCAGCTCTCTTATAATAACTATTGTCCTTTTATGTAAATTACTCTGGATGTAGTTTGAGCTTATTAAATGTTACACAAGACACTCACAAGGTAAAAAAAAGAAATGAGTAAAAAGTAAAACAAGTATTCTTGCATGGTGAATCCAGACCTTGTATACTGTAAATTATTCGCTTCTCCTCATCTAAAGTACCTTAGGGATGCGGAGCACAGGTGTTGCTCTCGCCTCAAGCGTTTATGAACAGAAGGCAGAATGATGCTGTTTGGGGAGTTCAGGATACAGGGCACTCAAAACCATTCTGTTGGACGTTTACGTTTTCTTTCTTTGACGTTTTTGTCACATTCTGCTTTACACAGTTTAAACATTTAAACTGACTGAAGATGAACAGCTTGATGTGTCTGTTCCGGGGGTCTGCAATGTAATTTAACCGTGTGAACACCTGGATGCTCAAAAGATTCGTCACTTTAAGAAGTGGTAACAACTTCAGTTCACACATTATTGAACCGTTCTCATCCATGAAGTCCTTTTCCATTTAAAAAGCAGGCAAATCTACATGCAATCCCATTAGAGACTAAGTGCAGGAAACACAATATGAGAAAAGAAATCGCATGGATCAGTAAAGTGCACTTGTCCCTGGAGAAAATAGGGTTTACATTTTTGTTTTTTGCTTTCTTTTTTTTGTACAGAAGATATAATTCTGACACCCTCCGTCACCACGTCTTGGAAATGGAGGACTTTGACATACTTTATTTACTGATAGAGGGCAAGTGAAGTGCCATTTTACTCATTCTTAATTGTGCACATTCACCATTTCCAGGACTGCGTTCAACTTTCGGGACAAGGTGCTCCACAAATGCAGCTACATCTCATCCACGGTCTGATTTCCTCCCAGATTTCACTCTGACCGCCCACATTATGCCTCCCTATTCTCGAAAATGACTTCATTCGCTCATAGGTTTCATTAACCCCTCCTGCGTCATTGATATAGCGCTTTCATTGCTTCGTCATTCTGCTGCTTGCTTGCACCATCTGCTGCCCGTCCGCTTGTGCACGCGTTTGTGAAGACTTCAGGAGACGTTGCCCATACGGGCTTTTAGATGTGCTCCGTGGTACTGCTCAGTGACCATGTGCCGATGAGCTATCTAGTCGGTCTCTCTTGATTCAGGGAGGTTTTTGGCATTGCAGAAGAAGACGCTCTTTTTGAGGACGACATCTCCACCGTAGATCAACGTGCAATATCTATAGGCTGCTCTGTGTTAACTATTAAGGTGTGTATGTGTTTTCTATGAACACAGTTATAGGAAGATGGCCTCCTGATCAGATTAACAGGGCAGACAGGCGAAAGTCCGACAGGAGCGAGTTTGAAAGGTTCTCCACTGGCTGCCGTGCAAGGCAACAATTAGCAACTTCTAAGACTACATCAGTGGTGAGTAGTTTGCTGTGCTTGCTGGTCCGCAGCGTACTGTTTCCAACAGTAGAGTCATGTATGCCCAACCACTGCCATCCCAAAGCTGTGTATGTAGAATCTATGGATGTGTGCGTGGGCGTCACTTCCTGTCTGTGAGCACACAGCGGACTCTGACTCCAGCTATTCGCTTTCTCTGCCTTGTTAATGTACTGAGAATCCCCAATATCGAGGACTTCATTCTGCTTTTTGTGGTCTCACTGTTGACACACACTTGTGCACTCACATAAGTAAATAATTGTCCATCAGTATATCTTGATGTCATTGTTTGCAACATAATTAAAATAATAAAATATCTGTAAATATACATCAGCCCATCTATTGTTTTTTTTTCATCATAGGTAGTGGCCAAAATATTGCCACTCTCTTTGTAGGAATAATGCAACATTTCAACCAAAATAGGTGTTGTCGACAGGTCCATGAACCTGAGGTATTCAATAATATTTGTGGAAAAGAGAGTTTACTAATACAATATAAGGTAATTAATTAAATCAAGTAAATTTAAATGTTTACCTTTTTTTTTTTTTTTTAAATTAGTTATTTTCATTGTTTGCAGTGTAAGCATTATAATATAGTACTATATACATGGTTTCTTAAAATAAGATCCATGTTGTAAAATTTTGAAATTAAAACTTTTTTGTGCGTGTATGATTTATGTATGAATTAATTTGGATTGCAGTGGGCCAAATAAAAGGCAAATAAATAATCTTAATTTATTATACATAGAGAAGCACTGAATATTTGTGCCCTTAGATGCATTTTATAATATAAGATAATAGGGTTGTGCTGATAGATGATAGTCAGAGATAACGCCTGTGGCTGATGCCTTTGATGATATCAAGATGATTATAATAATTATTATTAATATTATTAGGCTAATATTACCATCTAATTAATATCAGGGTTTATTTGGGTTTCTCTTATGTTTCTTTTTACGGCGCGCGCGTTATAACCAACCACACACGATTCAGTTGAGTTTATGAATGCAGTGGCCAATCAGAGGCGTTCAGATGAGTCATCGCTGAAACACCGCAGTTTTGTTGTTGAGTGCGCGTGCTGCTGACTGAATTCCGCTGTCTCGTGAATTCTCTCATCATAAACAAAAAAGTGCAGATGTAAGTACAAGAGAGCTGATTTTGAGGGGAGTGTTTTTTTTTTTTAAGTGCATTAGCTCGCGCTAGACTGAGTCAATGATGATGTTCTTTGATAATGTAAGTGTTCATTGCTCCTTTTCTATAGTTGATGTTTGAATAACCGTTCATGTAAGCATTATAATTAGTCAATTACAAGGTTTATTAAATTGTGATCATGTTAAATACAAATTACGGCTATTAAGTAAATAAATAAGAAATATGATATCGTATATAATATAATATTAACCAGAACTGTGTGATTCATTTATTTTATTCTATTTTTATTCATTTATTTTTGAAAAGGACCATGTTTGTAGGCTTATTCTGTGCACTGGTCTTGTGTCATCTGCAACAGTGACTTTGTTCTGACCTTGCACATCTAATGATTCCATGCCTGAGAAACTTCAACTGCCTGGCGCCAAAACAGCGGTTTCCATGGAAACAGTGGATGATGCAGCGTGGACACAGCACTGAAGACGTCAATAATGTCTCTTTTTTTTTTTCGCTCCAGCTTCTGTTTATTTCTATTTGAAAGTGACGTGACGTGACATGTGGCCAAGTATGGTGACCCATACTCGGAATTAGTGCTCTGCATTTAACCCATCCAAAGTGCACACACACAGCAGTGAACACACACACACTGTGAACACACACCCGGAGCAGTGGGCAGCCATATTGCTGCGGCGCCCGGGGAGCAGTTGGGGGTTCGGTGCCTTGCTCAAGGGCACCTCAGTCGTGGTATTGAAGGTGGGAGAGAGCGCTGTACATTCACTCCCCCCCACCTACAATCCCTGCCGGTACGAGACTCGAACCCACAACCTTTGGGTTACAAGTCCGACTCTCTAACCATTAGGCCATGACTTCCCCCTATTTGTTGTTTTGTTCCTGTAGATAATACAATACAAGCCAAAAATTGAAGACTAAACTATTAAATCGTTTTCATTGCGTTTCTCTGCCACTTGTGCATTTGTAGACGTCATTTGACAAACCAGAAACTACTTCATATAAACTTATAATGGTCCTAAGAGAGGTATAGAAAATTTTACAATTTATGTAAGAGCAAATGATACGTTTTTATTTATTTAAGGCCTCATTACTTCCCCAGTGTTGAGGATATTAGGAACAGTATATTTCAGCCTACTACATCAGACATTTAGACACCAGCCACTGTATC